GCTTAGTATGTTGAATCATTAAGTAATTATATATAGATGATATACAGTCTGACCTCGATATAATCACCAGGTTGGGAAAAAATTTTGGTGATTACTGTATAAAAAGTCAAGACTAAAAAAGGTCTAAATTTATATCGATATGTTTTTTAATAGCTAGATCAAAAAATTACAACAAGGTTGTGACTATATTGAAAGTGACTATAACGAGGTCAGACTATATATTACAATTTTCTTTTTTTTTTTCATAAGTAGGGAGCATGTTCGCCTTATCTTATTGCTGACAATGAAACTGGCGTGGGACATTATGTTAAAATGGTTCACAGTGGTATCGAATATGGCTTATTTGTGAGGCATACTTAAATGAATCTTGTTAGATATAAGGATACAGATGGCATCCTTTAGTTACAGTAGAGCAGGTAATATTACGAATTATTTTTTTTATCATTTACTTGTGCTTATTTTTCTTACATACTTCACCTTTTTTTCAAAAATTTGAAATAGATAGAATTTGGAATTGGTTTTATTTTTCATATGTTGAAACCGGCTCCAAACTTTACATTTATAGTTTTCTTCTTGAAAGATGAACGTATCCACGCAAATAAATTATTAAAAGGCCTAAAACACGAAATTTCATGAAAAAATAAGCGCACATTGGTCAAGCTTTATGCTTCTAGATTTATTTCTTATGATCGATTCACATTATTGCGTGATATCACATTAATGTGGCATTATTCGAAGGTTGGTCAATTTACAAGCTTATTTAATTCACTGTTTCCATTAGTAAAATTGTTTTATGAAACTATTATTAAGTAATTTTTCTTTAATAACTAGTTTATTTTTATAATTTTATATAAAGATAATTTATATTTGGTGCAGGGTGCACCGTGTGCACCCCTATGAAAAATTCGAGCCTAATAATAGTTAGGGTTAGGGTTAGGGTTGGCTTAGGGTAAAATTGCGAGAGGATCATTTTTCATTAGTTATACAACAGGGGTTACCCTAATAAAATTTTGAGTTATAGCACCAAAAATAAATGCCTTTATATAAAATGAACAGTAGTATTATTTCGTAAAATTAATTTTTTTACTTAATTGACTAGTGCCTTCCTTGGTGATATCAAGAATGCTCACGTTAACAATCAGGATCTCGAGAATCTCCTCGTCAGGTTATTTCATAAGCGAATCTGCTTGGCATTCCTGCATTTTCTACCGCATTAGCTTTCTATGATGGTTATAGCATGAAAAATTTACCTGCAAATCATTTCAAAGTCAGAGATATTACTTTGGGTATTCATTTGACGTTAAATATTCAGATACCTGGATAAATTTATTGATGATAAACGTCCAAGCGGTAATGTAATGTTCATGTCAATTAGACCAGCGAAGACGGTAACGTTAGTGCCTCGACATATCAAGATTAAAATCAAAGCTCTAACAATTATGAAGATAGAATTTTATATTTAAGATGATATTCAGTTAGAAAAATTAATTTAAAAGCCATTATTTATCGTTTATAAAGTAACGTTTTTAAATTTAAAAATGATAATACTGTCAATGAATTGGCTGACCTTGTTATGTGTATCAGGCATTATGTGACAAACATTTATTAATTACATTTGATTTTTTTGATCAAGAATGCATGTTTAAAAGGTCTATCTGCTTATTTAAAAGTGATATTGTGAAAAGGCTTTTCATAAAGCATTTTATGAGCGTCTAAATTCTAAAGAAATTATTATTATTATTATTATTATTGTTCCATCTAATCTCTTATCAATCCAACCGGGCTTTTTCCTGTTATACTATGGTGAGTTGTTATATACTAGTAACTTTATCGATACTAGATATAGAAAATATTTAAATACAGTATATCGAACTACGGGGTTTTTTTTTAAATTTTTACGGTTATATATAATTTAGATATCTTTAGTTTAAATAAAATTCAATTTACTAAATTATTAAATTTATTACAGTATTCATATAATAAAAAATTTTTTAGATACATAATTATGTTCCAGTATTCTTTGGTTTGATTTCTTTTTGTCAGAAAAATACGTCAGGTATCTAAAGTATATCGATCAACTTTTAAATCCAATTATTTGAACTAAATTATAACAAAATTACGAATAATTTATTTAAATTCTACTGATCAGTAAAATTCAGATAAAAAAAAGTCTACCGAGTTTGGCTTGGTAGTTGTAATTAATTATTATTTATTTGACTAAATGATTGATTTAAAAGCCTCAAATTATTAAATTTTATTCATAGCTAGAGTCAAAGCTTGATATAGCAAAGTTCACATTCTTTAGTATAATTATTCCGTTCTAATTTAAGTGGACTCCGAACTTATTACGTATGATTCCATTCACACTTACATATATGCTTTTTTTAGGAATGAATATGCCAACATTGTATTATTTTTATGGTAAAACCAGAAACGCATATGGCTACCATGTAAACATTCTTTCACGTTTATAGTATGCAACTTGATAATGTACTATTTTTCTTGGAAAAACAAAATCCTGACAAGGTTCGGCCGGCATTTAACTATAATGCTAGTCAATTCTGCCAATATATCTTTCTTTGAAAATGTCTTGGAAAAATGAAGAATTTTAAAAGAAATAAAATTTTTTTACATGAATTTTTTACGATTAAATATTAAAATGAAATTTCAGAATAAAAATTTTACAAACTTTTTTATTACCATAAAAAAAAGATACACATCCAAATGACCCAACCGACACAAAGTACAACACCGAAAAATACATATTATAATATAATACAAATCAAAGGTAAGATATGCTTACAGTAAGGAATGTCTAATAGGAAAAAAGCAACCTGTAAAAAAAAAAAAAAGAAATTAAAGCCAAAATTAGTCTATGTAATAAAAGTCTATTAGTTAATTTTAGGTTCAAGGTTACAGTTTGAAGTTATTTCATTATTTCCCCACGAAGGACTGCATGATTTGATAACCTTGACTAAACAATAGCATAACTATTATTTGTATAGCCATTATTTGCTATCTGGTTAAAATTTTGTTTATTAATGTTTTTACCACCACCATAAGGAAATACTTGATTTGTTAATCTTGAATGAGCAACATAACTATTATTTATATAATAATCGTTTGTTATTTGATTATTAATGTTTTTGTCATTAACACCTAGTTTTGAAGTAGTTGGCAAATCATAATAGTGATTATATAATGGTCTTGGAGTTGCTTCTCCTCTAACACTGTGCGCAGATTTTCGTCTCATTCTTTTTAAGGAATTCCTATTATTAGGATATTGTATTGTATTTGAAGCCTCAAAAGATTTGGAAGAATTGTTAAGAGCCTTTGGTTGTGAATAAACAGTATTTGGCATTGGAGTAATATCATTATTGAGTTGTTGTTTATAAAGTACCGAATCAGAAGAAGGAATCGGTATGGGTGGCTCAATTATACTACTGTCATGTAAGTTTGGTAATGATCTTGAAAAACTAGGTTGTAAAAAAGGTTCATTTGACTGAACAATTGAAGGTTGATCGATTTTATAATTAGTGTTTCCCCGGGATGTAGGCTGTTGTGAAACCCGATAAGTATCAGAATAATTAGCAATAGGTGGTAAAGGGAGAGGTCGGGGTTGAGGAAAACTATCTGAACGTTTATGACTACGTAAGAATGGTACTTGATCATGTGGTTGTTGCGATTGTCGTGGTTGTTGCGGTTGCCGTGGTTGTTGCGGTTGCCGTGGTTGTTGCGGTTGCCGTGGTTGTTGCGGTTGCCGTGGTTGTTGTGGTTGCTGTAATTGTTGTGGTCGTTGTGGTGGCTGAAAACCTGATATAGATTCTGTTTGATTTAGAATAGGTGGAAACATCATACCACTACCATTTACTGGACGCGTATCTGGTACATAATGAGACGTTGGCTGATAGCTTGCTAATCGTTGGGGAGGTGACATCGAGTTGTGCCGATGAACAATTGGAGGCCTTGAGTTCGAAGAATTATTATATGATTTCGATGGAAGCGCAGGTGGTAAACCTTGTGAACTTTGTTTTTGTGGTATTGGAACACTAGGTTTATGCGTTGGTATAGTATGTATTTGATCGAACATCTGAGTATTTTGAGTAATGTTTGAATTGCTGCCATGATTTTCTTGTATTCTTGAATTATTTGGATTGTGATTATATTCTTGTTTAATTCCATCAGGTGTTTGATCTTCTTGCCTCTGATGTAGTGTTGGTCTACGGATAAATGGAGAAGGAGGGTTTGCCATTAAACTATCCTGATCCATATGCTGCCTTTTTTCTAAAATATCAGTAGACACTATAGATGTAATATCATTTGCTACATGAGATTCTTGAACCTCCATGTCAATATTCTTAGTTTCCTCCCTCCTTTCCGATTCACGCATTACTTTATTTGTTGGTTTCTTTGAAATTCGTTTTGCACAATACCATATGAGAGAACCAAGAGCAACCTATTAACCCATCATATAAGTTCTTTAAAATATTAATGTTTCAAGATTTATGATGCCCAGAAAAAAAAAAAAAAAAGAAAAAAAAACAAGACAACTTTTTTTTTTTTTTTAAAAGAATCTCATACCAAAATAACTTCTTGCGCTCCAAATACTACAAGGCCTGCTCTTATGGCAAAATCAGCTTTATTTTCGCAGGCAGTTCTTTCAATGAGGTCATTGGGATTGGTATTGCAAGAATCAACCGTATTGTTTCTCATCGTAAATGAAAGAATTATCTTTACAATATCAATAATCGTCAGAACAACAACAGAGAACCAATGATCACGCGAATAACGGCACATCAAGAATATATTGTTAGAAATAGCACCAAAAACTCCAAATAAACCCGAAGGTGCCACTATTACTTCGATCACAGCATAGCCAATCAAAAATGGTGAACTAAGATGATTTGCGGTAACTGAAAGAATTGAAGAAAAAAGTCATTACTTGTAGATAATAAATGAGACAAAATTGTAATAACTTACTGTTTAATCCTCTGAAAGTAACAGTTGCAATGAATAAGGTATAAAGCTGATCATTAAAATTGAAATAAAAAAAATTGAAAAATTTAGGAATGCAAGTAATGAACCGAAAACTAAACAGTAAAAAGATAAACATACAAACAACAGGGAGGAAACAAAAAAAATAAAGCAACGAGCTAGAAAACGATACATTGAAGAAGGTATTGAATTGTTCAAACCAAGCTACTCAACACCTTGGTTTCTCTTAAACAGATAAGTCGCGATATTACCGACTTATTGACGGTGTGCTCGCGAAATTACTCCGACCTATATCGAGAAGCGTGTTCGTTATAAACGGACCAGCGTTTCTCAGATTGGCACTGCCAAAACCTTGTCTGCGGGATATTAAAAGTAAGAAGAGCTAACACCGTACTGAACCGGGTTTGGAAACCTAGGGGTAAGAAAAAAATAACAAAAACGTGAAGGCAGTGATTATATATAGAAATGAAGCTTTAAAAAGGAAACATGGAATGAAACAAGTTTCACTAAATTTCCCATTATTCTCTGATTCATTCTCCGATATTTAATGTACATCTTAATAATTATCGACAATCTTTGTTTTTTCAACAAAATCGGGATTGGCTAAATTAAAGTTCTTCGTGAAACGTTACATTGTTAATTTACATTTTAATGGAACAATCTATCCACAACATATATTAATAGCAGAATTATATTAAAATTAGCTGAGATTTATGCCAAAACCTGTTTCCCATGAGATTTTCGACAATATAGCGTAACAATTTAAGGTAAAGTATTGTTAATTTTTACCATTCTTATACATAGACATACGTAAACACTACGTAGACCTTTCTTTTTTTTATAGAATTTAAAGAATTTTTAACGTGATAAACAAATATTGAAATTAACTAATCAAAAAAAGTAAAATTGTTTCTATACAGAATATAATGTAAATTCGGGTAAATGCAGATTTTTCTTTTTATGTGAAGTTCATTTAACTTTAGTTTCCTCTAACACTATACTTACACTTATACTTACCTAGAGTTGGCGTAGGACTTTCCGTTTACTCCCGCTTATTCAAAACTTAATACTGTAATAAACAAATCAAATATTTTCAAGCACCCGTTACTAAAAACACGACATATAAAGTTATGCCTTGATTTGTCCAATATTGACATAGATTTTGGATACCAGTGAATGATGACGTTGGTAGCTATATACTGGTAAATACCGTTAGGGTTAGATCAATATGCAAAATAATAGATGTCAATAGCCACCAATAGGTTAACCTTTGAATCAACATAACCCTTTTTTATTGGATACTAACGCTAATCATGTGCCTAGAACCTGACAGTAGTACCGGTAGAAAACCCAGGATTTGAGAAAATTCACATCACTACCAGTGAATCACTCTTATTATTAATGCTTTTTTGTATTTCTGATTTTGGTTTTTTAATCTCTATCGTTATCGCTATTAAGAACGAAACATCTTAAAATAATTAGACGCTGAAATTCTATACTAAGCCATCACGTGAATAACAGTCCAATGCGCCTTAAAAACTATCGCATAAGTAAAATTCTTATAATTTGATATCAGATACATGCACTATAAGTTACTAATCATATTTTCACTTTTGCTTTACAAAGAGTCGTAAGGTTTTAAGGTTCGTATGATGCTAAACATACACGTAATTAACAATATCAATATGTTCAAATTTTATGCAGGAGGTTTTAAAAAGCTTGTTGATAATTCAATATAGCAACATAAGTTCTATAAAGTTATCGATTGATTTGCATAAAAAGGTTACCGCCTTAAAAATTAACTGATCGTCAGGTATAAACCTCCTGCCATATTGACATCAATGGATTTTTATAATTGGTTACGTTTTAGGATTTTCCAAATTGCACACATGTTCCTGTCATTTGGTTCTACATAACTACAATTGTGCTCTCGGAATTTCGTTTTTTTTGCCGATCGTAAGGAGACAAACATTCTGCGACATTTGCATATCAAATGCTGTGAGCCCTGAATTTTTGTTTTTTAACCAGTCTTATACTGTACAAACATAAAATCAATTAATTATGTAATGTTGATTAATCATTTTAAGATGTACGTATTTACATACATGCCATTATTTCTAATCCAATAAGGAAATATAATATTAACTTGCTTAAAGTTTGATTAAATATATTATTGCAATTTATGAAATTTAACACTACGTAAAATTACATTAATTAATTACATTATTTTAATACCAAATTATTTAACCAATCAATATTAATGTTTACATGTCACCATTACAAAAGAAAATAATATTATTAACTGATATTTTATATGAATTGTGATTAAATTTTTTAATCAGAATGAACTGATCGATATCAAAATATTTTATATACAAATTTGTATGTTAATAAAAATTTTTTTAAATTGCTTAAAAAATTAATTATTTTGATGTTCTTTTCTGAATGTCGATTAGCTAAAATAAGCGCATTTGCCATTATTTTCATTCCTCAGATCCATTAATATTCACGAAAAAAATGTACTAAATGTACTCATCTCTGCGAATTATTTTACTAATGTCAATAAACAAAGTATATTTTTTTTAAATGTAACAATAAACAGAATTTGAACCATATATTGAAAAATTAGATTCCATAAAGCAATATTTATTATTTAGAGCTGTTCGTTATAATAATATCTAATATTGAATTATGTATCTACCAGAATTCTTGTTTTCGGCAGATTTCAAATACTTTTCGATCATTTTAAAATACACTAGAATAAAAAATAAGGTTAGATAAATTTCATTAAATACAATATTCGACAATGTTTGATCAAATAATAAAAACCAGAGATTACTTACATTAATACCAAATGAGAGCCGTGACGACCATTTCCTCGAAGATTTATTTAGAATTAACATTTATCTAATAATAATGTGAAGAACACAAACACAGCCCACTTTAAAATTGCTTCGAAGAAATAGATCAACCTATTCATCTCGGTGAAGTCCCTAGGAATTGTTGCACTATCCACTTCTTTAATATAGTAGGTGCCTGTTTATTATAATACAAGTTTTTTGTTTTTAAATACAACTCGATATAATAAAATTAGAAAATCACCTACCTAAGTAGCCAAGAACATACATATGCAAGCTCCGCTTAAAACTAGAGACGCCAAATACCCTCATTTCAGGAATGGTAACCCTGCGGCTAGTCACTCTATTTCTACCAATAGTTTTTTTAGGTTCTTTGCAATTTTGCACAAATTTTGGGTTTTTTTCTTTGTTTTAACTTTACTGTATACGGACGTGTATCTTCTACATACACGATTTGATACTTATCGGATCCACTAGTAAATCCAACACCGTCTTCCTTTTGACGTTCAACATGATTGGCCGATGGGATTTCCCCACTATTCACAAGCAACAAAATATAGTATAATTATCTTGTTTTTATAAAAGGCATAGTTTTTCATAATGCCATAATAATTATATATATATAAAAAAAAAAAAACTCAACCAAGTATAGTATAGTATACTTCAACACAGTGCCACAAGGCCACTTTAATGCAGGTAAGGTCTCCATACTATGTAAAGGGTTCATGTGACCCAATGAAAATGCTTGCAAACTAAATCAATCAAAAATAAATCAATGTACATAAAAATATTTCTGTCGCTATCTGCCATGACATATTAATTAATAAAAATTCAATATTGTCAAGAGTTCGGATTATTACCAATTTGGTAGTTGTTTCTTCGTAGTTCTTCGCATTTATAGCTGTTTTCAAAAAAGTGTAATCAGATGCAAACCACTATATCATGGGAAAACTACATGATTTCCCTGATTTTCTTGATTCCGTGAACATGGAAAATCGAGAAAATCAAGAGATTTTCCATGATATAATGGTTTGCATCTGGTTACACTTTTTTGAAAACAGCTGTAATTTATCTACCGCATCAGGCCATTGTTGATACTTATTGTAAAAAAGATAATACGTATTAGAAGATAATTATAAATGAATGAAGTGGTAATTTCATTAATAAGTTCTAAAAAACAATCTAAAATACTATTGAAATTAAACTATTAGAATTAGTATATCTTTATACGTACTTGCGAAAAAAAATTATGCGTTTCCTCCGGAATTAGTCTATCATATTGTTCCGAAGAATTAGGATATTTTTTGTTTTTTAAAATATATTTAGCAAATTTTCCTTTTGGGGTAAGATCCATGACACGTACGTATTTGTTTTAGCTAAATCGTCGTTGTCATCTTCCTCTTTATATTTTTTAAAAACATTCATTATTTTGATAAAAAAAAATTATAGTCTACTTGGATTTTTTTGTTAAGAATTCCGTTCTAAAGAAAATTTAGTATTAAGAATTCAATATAAGGAAGTGGATAAAATGTATCATTATCTGTATTACCCGACGAAATTTCTTCGTTGACTTTATCCTTAATTTACAATATGAAATATATAGTTAATAACAATATTTTATTAAGTAGCAATATCCCTGCTAGTAATTACAATAGATTATTTTGTGAACCTTGTCAAATGGTAATAAATATTACTGGGAAAGCCACCTTTGCGATATAGCTTAGATGGCCCAATCATAAGAATTGTTTCTTTTTATAAATAAGAAAACACATAATTAATTCCTTGTCTAGAATTAATAGACCTTATTTAAAGAAATTCTTTAGATTACACGTTGTGGCCATATAATGACCACTCTCGCCAAATAATTTAAGTTGTATTACTGGGAAAGCCATCTTTGCAATATAGCTTAGATGGCCTCACAAGAGCAACCATAAGAATTGTTTCTTCTTATCTAGAACTTATTTAAAGAAATTCTTTAGATTACACATTGTGGCCATATAATAACAACTCTCGCCAAATAGTTTAAGTAGATATTACTGGGAAAGCCACCTTTACAATATAACTTAGATGGCCTCACAACGGAAAACAAAGAATTGTTTCTTCCTATAAATAAGGAAAGTACATAAATAATTCCTTCTCTAGAATTAGTAGACCTTATTTAATATATACCGTTGTGGCCATATAATAACACTCACCAAATAACTAGATGATTGATCTTTGTAAAAAAACCGCAAGATATGCTTACAGTTTGTTGGCTTTTTTTTACTGGACCGTTTTTTAAATTGATTTAAGGGAATCTTTCTTGTCATTTTTTATAAAAAGTTCATTTTTTGAGGAATTACGAAAAGTAACTAAGTATCGAGTAAATAAAATTCGTTGTTACTTAAAGATCGATGTAAACAAACCCTTGCCCGGGAACAGGGACGATGATTTTCTGCGGTGATAAATATTCAATTCCGTCCGTGATAAAATAAATTTCTGCATAATTTTACGCTCCAAATTTATGAATTCTGTATTAATCCGTGCATTAAAATTTATGAATTCTGCGTTTGTTATAATAGAGAACTCAAATATTCTGCAACCATTATTACTTATTTTTCGGATTATTTCGGATATTATTCAAAAATTTTAGCCTGACCACGTTCATCTTTTAAGTTCGTTTATTTTCTACGTCGGAACTTTTCGGAGGATATAGGTTTGGAATTGTTTACCTATAAATCATTACATTCTGTGATATTTCCGTGCCATATTCCTACTTTCTGCGACAATTAGGGTAGGTGGCATGGGTCCTTGGGCATGCCCTATCATGTGATCACAAAAGGATCGTCATGAATATGATTGGTTGATTTCTGCAGTAATAAATTGTCGTGATTCTGTTCATAATATTGCTTATTTTTCGGATTATTTCAAAAATCTTAGCTTGACCACACTCGTCTTTTAGGTTCTATATTGGAAAATTGTTTTTTGACCATGTACTTATAAATCCCTACTTTCTGCGAAGATCTGTTAATACCCAAATGTTTAAAATTACTCTAACTGACAAGCCTACTAAGTCTTTTTAACTATTTTTCAACAAATATGCTTTGAAAGTACATATCATATTTGACGAATTAAATCTTAGAAATGAATCATATGTATTAGTGTAATACCGATAAATAGCTTATCAAATTTGGCCGAACTGACTTTGGCAATTTTTTTTAGAGTGTCCAAGAATTTATAAAAATAGCTGTAAACTATAAATCACACAATAATTTCAAAAATTTTTTTAAAAAATAGAATATGCATAATAAACAATATTTATTATTATTACAGTATTATATTTCTGTATTTTACAATTGCGCCAAATAATTATTGGATGATTTTAGCATGTTACGATATTCTCAAACCCAAGTATAGAATTATCTAACCTAATTAGAACACATGCCGAATATTAAAACTTGGGGCTTCAATGACAAAAATAGAAAATGATTTTAATTATTTAATTGTCAGGTTTTTTCAGAATTCTAACTATTAACCCAAATTTGGAATTATCAAATTTGTATACACAACCTAATTGAGTATATCGTGAAAATTTCCAAATCAACAACTGCGTATTTAAAATAAATTATCATCTTTGTAATTATGCACAATTTAACCATCATTATTATAATTAAGATCATTATTGATGAATAACCACTAATAAAGAAAATGATTATTATAAGACTAATAACTAAATATGTGAGAAAAAATTTTTCAAAGTCCTAAAATAATTATATAAAATATGATATTAATATGAATCAGTGATAAAGGATTGATTTATATATATTATTATTTATTATTTATCTGAATATAAAAATAAAGAATTTTATTTTACTTATCTAAAAACAAAGGAATTATTATTCTATCTATTTAAAAATTTATCTACATCATGTTATCTGATCAAAAAAAAAAAAAAAGTAAATATTACAAAATGTTAATTGATACGAATGAATAAAATTATATAAAGACAACTTATCTGAAAGTCTAATTCCATTGTGTTATTTGTAATACTAATATATATATATAAATTATAAGAAATCATTAAATAAAATTGTTAATCATATCACTATGCAAGCCCTCTCAGGTTTTACTATGCCTCTTCCAACACAAGGTTTGTGTTGGTCTGGTTTTTTCTGCTCTGAAAATAAAATAGGAGGAAATAGATACGCCGCAAAATACAAATATTGTCTAATTGAACTAAGCAGTAGACCTGAAAAGCTTCATCAGCATGTTCTTTGGTATAATAACTGGCCCATCTCCGAAAGAACCACTTATCTTCACAAAGTTGCTGAAGAAAGCTCTTTATCTCACAAGCACACCCATGATGAAGATGATACTTTAGTCGATCTAACTATCCAAGAAAATAATAGCATATCAGAATCATTTACATCCCGCCCTTATCAAGAATCTATTATTAAATGGTTCGCACCATCCTTATTTCAAGCACAATCTGAAAAACTCTATCAAAAACTTCTAAAGGCCATGATTTACAGAAATAATTCTTTTTACCTTTGTTGAGAATCTATATTTTCTTAATGAATTAAATCCTTCTTACCATCCTCCTTCTCGAAATATGATCAAGAGGCATCTTTTAACCAAGATGTTTTCTAACCATACTCTAGAAAAATTAAATACCCTCTCTACTCTTACAGATCTTACAATTTCTCTCGACAGATGGACTGATAATTCAGGAAATTCAATCTATAGGTTCATGGCCCTCAAAGAACATCAAGAGTTTGTGCTCAATATTTAGAATTTATCTGCATACCACCACACTGCAGAATTTCTTAAAAAAAAGATAATAGAAGTTTTATCTACAAATGGTATCCAGACATCATCCATTATTGCCTGTGTCACTGACAATGCCTTGAATATGGACAAAATGAGAAGACTAATTCATGTAAATATAAATGTATTAAAAATATTAAAACCATCATGGCTTATGTTGTGACTAGTCATGACATAAACCATGACAATTTTTGATTATATATCTATTATAAAGCTATAAACTTACACATATCACAAAATTTAATAAACTCACTTTAATATTATTCCTATTTGTTGCTGTTTGCATGTCTTTAACTTGATTGTTAAAGACATTGCTGGTTTCTCTAGTATCATTCCTATATGTAAAAACAATCAAAAGCTTGTTAATTTTTTTACTTCATCACATATTTGGAGTAGAGAATTGCAAAATTGGCAAAAAAAAATCGTAACATCAAATATTTCTTATCCACATTTTGCGAGACAAGGTGGTATTCACTTGCTAAAGTTTGTTTAAGGTAGCAACCTATGAACAAGGTTTCCAGCACTGTCTTTTGTTAAGTAAAACTTTAAATTATAAATATCCCAAAATCAAAAACACTACCATCAAAAATCTTATCCGTGATAAATATTACTTTGCCACAAATGATTTACTGGCAAAAGTAATTAAGCTAGTCATTGATACCATTAGTAGACTAGAATCAAATGATTCTACTCTTGCCGATATTTTCAAAGAGCTTATTTATATCTACCAGCAAATATCTCAACTTGAGATTTCTCTTACTAATTTTAAAACCTACGCCCTCTCTATTATAAGCAAACATGCAAGAGAGTTTGATTATGATATTTACTTTGTTGCACTCTTCCTTTTACCAGCCCACAAATAGTTAGCTATATCTAGAAAAATAAATGAAGAAACAATTAGCCATGCTATACTTGAATTGACTATAGTGGGGGCTTCAGAAAAAGAGAAGCAAGTCTCTTATACAAAGAATTAATTGATTATAAGAATAATAATCCTCCATTTAATAATTCTCTTTCGAGTTCTTCACAATCTCCACAATCATTTTGGGCCAAATTTAAAGGGTGTGCACCTCTTTTACATCGTTTTGCAATGAAACTTCTTGCTAATATCCCTTATAGTACTAGCTATGAACAGCTTTTCTCAATGCTTGGTTTGGTTAAAACAAAAATAAAAAATAATTTAATGCCTGAAAATCTTTCAATAATTGGTCAGTTTAGAAACAAACTCAAAAAAGCTATATCTAATATTAAAAATAAATTTAAAAAAACTATATCCAAACCTTTATATTACAATGATGGAAGTATCAATATTTTCTTCAAAGAGAATCTAAATGAGCTAGAAGAATTGGATGAAGAGCTAGAAGTTATAATAGAACAGGACAAGTTGTCTATTATGGAAGAATTTTTTGATTTTGCAGCACTTGAGAGAGATCAAGAATTTCTTGAAGATTTAGCTCAGGTTAACTTGGAACCAAATGATCTTGAATGGTCCATTGATGACATTATTTTTTAAAGCTAAAAAAATAAATATAATTTATATTAAACAAAAACTTGTAATTTTTAAATAAATTTTTAATTATTAAAATAAAAGAATATGTATACTGTGCTCATGTTTTACATAGTAAAAATTAATACAGATTTTATAGATCGCAAAGATATTAGTATTTAAAAATCGTTTCACCTTGCTTACTAATAATTTTTTTTAGCCAATTTTTGTAGCAAATAGTTATTATGATGCTGTAAAAAGAAGTTATGGTTTAAATTTTTAATTCACAATAAAATTCACTTTTTAATTAAAAGTTTATATGTAAAATTTAAAAAAAATCTTTAATTAATAATTAAAAATATAAAACTATAACTTCTTTTTACAGCACTATAATAATCATTTTCTGCAAAATTGACCAAAAAAAATTGTTAATACGCAAGGTTTTAAATACTAATATTTTGTATCAATTTTGCTTATCTATGTATAAATTAATTTTTACTACAACACTTTGATTAATTAGTCCAATATTAACATGTTACATAAGCACAATTTATATACTAGAGGCATGCCCCAAAGCACAATCATCACCAAAATTTGCAA